AAACAATTATCCTTAGTATTTTCATCTTATTTTAGGGTTTTTATAAGGCTATAAATACCCCCTTGGGGTAAGCCTAATTCATCAAACCATTCATCGAATTCTTATTTGTCTTTTAGATCATTGCGATCTTTCTTTCTTGTTTTTATAAAATTCTCCTTTTAGTTTTTATTTGCTTACCATTAAATCTTTTATGTTTAAAACGCTAAGTATTACTTTTGTCATGCTTAGCTAATTTTCTTTTAAGCCGAGGGCTAAAGCGAGGACTCAATTCCAAACTGAGAATTGAAAAACACTTAAATAACTTCGGAAATCTCTCTCAATTTCTTGTTCTTATTTTAAAAAAATCAGAACGATTTATAAACCAAATATTGACATTGGTCAGAATGTTATTACGATAAACCTTGTGGGAGGAAGGATTGACTTATGGAAAACACATTTGACTTTCTAGGAACACACTTAGCATATTGATTGCTAAGAGGGAATTGAGATTGGAATATGTTATTATTGAAACAACATAATCTGAGTCAGTCTTTTACGAACATAAATGGTTCTTGATCTACAACAATTGATGTTGATTAGATTAATTTAAAAAGCCAAAATCAAAGGTTGCACTTGGGTAATTGGTATACAAAGCATAGTCATAAGGACTGATCCTTGTAGACAAGTAACTGACGTGAATCCCGAAGTCAAAATCATTTTTGATGATCCGAGGAAACTAAGTCAAATCAACAACCCAAGGCTGATTTTACCATAATCAACTTATTTCTTTTAAACATTCTTCTTAATCTTCTTTTACTTTTCTCATTAATCTTCTTTATTTTCTAGTTTTTATTTTACTCTCTTCATCTACAAAACCCCCATCATTACTTAAATATTGCTCCACTCACTTCTTTTACTTACTTATCTTTTACTACGTTTAATTTCCTTTATTTATTATTTGAGAGTAAGGAATTATTTTAATGCGAAAATGGCGCGTGTCAATGAGAAAGTGTAGGAAGAGTAATTGCAAGTGGGAAAGTATCAATTTACCATTAAAGTTAGAATGCGTAAATAAGTTGTATTAGTAAAGATGCCCTAAAAAGGAATTTCCTTAGAATTCATTGACAACAACAAATTCACTGGGTCATAATGTCAGAGTAAAGCGGATAAGCATAATTTTTTTTGTAAAGATTTAAGAGTAAGATGTTCCGAAGACGATTTTCAAAACTGGATATGATCACTATAAATTCGTACTGATGCTATTTAGATTGACGAATGCTCCTACAACATTTATGGATTTGATGGTATTTTGGTTTATTCCAAGACTAAAGAAGACCATGATCTATATTTTTGCATTTTACTTTAGACAGTGCGGAAGAAAAAGTTTTATGCTAAGTTGTCAAAGTGTGAATTTTGATTGTCGAAAATTATTTTTCTTGATCACGTAGTGTTAGTAGAAGGAAATTAAGGTTGGTTCCAAGAAGTATAATGATAGTGGAGTGGAAAACTCTGAAAAATATCTTTGAAATTCAAAGTTTCTTGAGATTAATTGACTATTGTTGGAGATTCATAAAGAATTTCTTGAAGATTTCTCTCCACTTATTAAGCTGTTTAGAAACGATTTACCATTAATTTGAACAAAAAAAATGCCAAGAAAGCTTCGTTACACTTAAGAAGATTCTAACAGAAACACCAGTTTAGAGCAACTAGAATCAGGTAAAGATTATGTGATTTACAATGATGCGACTCATAATGGTTTGGGATGTGTCTTAATGCAAGATAAAGTGGTAGCCTATGCTTTGAGACAGTTAAAGATGCACGATCGAAAGTGTCCAACTTATGATTTGGAATTACAAGCTGTGGTATTTAAGAACTTGGTGCCACTACCTATATGGTGAGCGATGTTATATCTACTCAAATTAGAAAAGTTTGAAGTATCTGCTCACTTAGAAAGAACTGGATTTTAGACAAAAGAGATGGATTGAGCTTTTAAAAGACTATGATGTGGTTATTGACTACCATCCTAGGAAGGCTAATATGGTAGCTAATGCAGTTAACTGAAAGACATTTTCTACTTTAAGAGGTTTAGATGCTCGATTATCAATGACAAATGATGGTATGTTGATTGCAGAATTAAGTTTAAGACATGCATAGTTGGATCGGATCAGAGATCTTCAAAGTAAAGATGAAAAATGTTTAGCAAAGATTGAACAATTGAAGAAAAGTAAAACTACATACATTGAAGTTAAGTATGATGGATGTTAATATATTTTGAAGTCGAGTTTAATATCCGATGATGAAGAATTAAAGAAGGATCTTCTCTCTAAAGCTAATTATAGTTTTTGACTATGCATTTAGGTGGAAACAAAATGTATCAAGATTTAAATATTCAATACTGATGGGCTGGTATAAAGAAGAAGAATCTATAACAGAGTTTATATCCAAATATTTGATCTGTTAACAGGTTAAAACAGAACATCAGGTGTCATCTGGTTTGTTGCAACCTATTTTTATTCCTCAATGGAAATAGGAAAAAGTTACTATGAATTTCGTGATAGGTTTGTCTTTGACACCCAACAAGAAAGATTTGATTTGGGTGATTGTGAATAGATTAACTAAGACAACACAGTTTATTCCAGTTCGAGTGAATTACTCGATGGATAAGTATGTTGAGTTATATATCAAAGAGATCGTACGACTACATGTAGTACTTGTCTCGATAGTTTTTAACAGAGATTTTAAATTTACTTTTAGATTTTTGAAGTCTTTGCATATGGTATTGGGAACTCGACTAAATTTCAGCACGACTTTTCATCTAGAAATAAATGGTAGTATAAGCAAACTATTCAGATATTTGAAGATATGCTAAGGGCATACATTATTAATTTTAAAAGCATCATGGGAAAAGTATTTACTTTTAGCAGAGTTGTTTATAACAATAATTATAAATTAAATAATAAGATAATCCGTTTTGAAGCATTAAATGGAAAAAGATGTCGGACGCCATTGAATTGATATGAAAAAAATGATTAAGATATAATTGGTACGAATCTGATCAAAGAAGTGGAAAACAAAGTTAAGATTATTCAAAAAAAATCTTAAGATAGTTGCTGGCAGATAGAAATTTTACTCAGATCTGAAGAGAAAAGAAATTAAATGTTAAGTTGGTGATAAAGTATTTTTCAAAGTTTCATTGAGATTCAGGCATAAAGGAAAATTGAGACTAAAATTCATTGGCTCGTATGAAATTTTAAAGAGAGTTGGTCTAGTAGCTTACCAGTTAGTATTACCTCCGAAAATGGATAAGATTCATAATGTGTTTCATGAATTGATGTTTCGGAAATATCGAACAAATCATTCATATGAGATTACATTAGAGGAAATTGAGATCCACCATTTTGTTTATACGAAGAAGAACCAATAAATATCTTAGCATATAGAGTCAAAGAACTAAAAATAATAATAAGACGATTCCATTGGGAAAAGTTCTTTGACAACATCATAAAGTTGAGGAGGGGACTTGGGAACCAAAAAAAGACATGAAAAACTTCAGGTATGTACATATGTAGGGAAAATTCAAGAACAAATTTTCTTTAAGGAACTAATATGTAAGTTTAGTAGCTAAAGTAAAACTTTGTAAAAGTTTAGGGACTAAAAATATAATTTTGAAAAGTTATATATTTTAGCCCGGAAATGAACAGTTTGTCCTAAAATATAAATTTTCGTGGGAATCAGAATTTTCGATACGTGATTTGTATTAAAAGCTATAAAGTGATAAAATTCTATATAAAAATCAGATAACCAGATCCAAACAAAATTTAAAGAAAATTTGAAGGATGTTAGATAAAGGTTGGAAATATTATTTCCATATTCTAGATCAGTGAAATTTAGCATGGATCAGTGGAATTGAAGTTGATTTTCAGACTTTGCCGAACAGTGAGAATTTTAGTGAATTCAAACGGCAAAGGTGGAAAGTGAATCTTTGACTTTGAATATTAAATTAGAAGATATTTTAGTGCATGGTTGAAATTATCAAATTTTAAAGGATAAAGTTGAATTTCCTATTAAATGAGTTTTAAATTCATTTAATTTATAAAAAGACATGTGTATTAGATAAAATTGTATAGAAATCATGAAAGTTAGCAGCCTTTCTTCTTCAATGCTTCCGTGAACCTCCATGGCTAAAGGGGTAAGATTTTTAAATTGATTTTTAGGCTTATTCGATCGATTTTTAGATTAAGCTATTAGATATAGAATTAATCTACATCAAATTCTCTATCATTTGATATAAATAGTTCATGGAAAACATACTTGAATGATTGATTTTTGTGATTACGTTTTATGAAGTGGATGTTGAATTTTTAATAATTGAATGATGCTTTTTATGTTATTGAGGTTGTAGATTGATTTCTAAGCATGTATGATGATCAAAATCAAGTAGAATTGTCTATATTAAATTCAACCACATCTAAGGTTTTTTATATTGGTTGAATTTGGATTGAATTTGATGTAAGGATGATTGGAATTGGATGAATTTGTTGTTAGAGGCTTAAATTCAAGCTTGAACTTGAATGAACAATTAGCCTTAATTGACTAGTAAGTTTCGGCCAAGATGAAAGAATTATGGGAAAATATTCAAAAATTTCTTATGGTCTACATTTTGATATTAGAATGATTTTGCATGTTTTGGAGATTGATTTTGTAATACCCAAATCGGTCAATATCGAAATGTGAGGAGTTTAAAATTTAGTAGTGTAATTGGAATAATAAGTTCTAGGATAATGGTTGGATATTTTGTGTTAGGAGTAAATTGTATATCCAACGACTTGGCCGCCGACAACCATGCGAAAACAATGATCAGAGTATGCCTCCGAAGTATGGGGTAGAGTTTGCAAGCGATCTAAAGGTCAAGATCATAAACTGCTGAATCAGAGCACCCCCTGATTTCCCTAATGGATTGATTACAACATCAGTGGCAGCCCTCCCTTTAACCTAGAGATAACATATATCGAGTAAGTTATTCATAAATGATCGATAAGTTTGAAAAAAGATTCGGAGTTTAGGGTAAAGATTCCGAACCTTGTCTCCTCGTCTAAAGGACTATAGGCCATTTCTTTGCATGGATAAAATAAACTGTACTTTGCACCCTTGCTGAAAATGTTCTGCATGGCACCAACGTATACAGCTGCAAGAAGAGGGGTCATGCCGAATTTAGCTAGAGCTGGTACGAGTGGATCACTGAATAGAATCAACGAAAAGAAACCGACTCCGGTCAGAAGCAAGACGGTGGGTGTAATTCTTGCAGCACCTCCCCATCCGTATTTGTCAAATATAAATTGACTTAGTAACATCATAGCGAATGTTGCTATTCCTGTGCCAGTTGAGAAGTCACCCACTTGGCCGCCGACAACCATGCGAAAACAATGATCAGAGTATGCCTCCGAAGTATGGGGTAGAGTTTGCAAGCGATCTAAAGGTCAAGATCATAAACTGCTGAATCAGAGCACCCCCTGATTTCCCTAATGGATTGATTACAACATCAGTGGCAGCCCTCCCTTTAACCTAGAGATAACATATATCGAGTAAGTTATTCATAAATGATCGATAAGTTTGAAAAAAGATTCGGAGTTTAGGGTAAAGATTCCGAACCTTGTCTCCTCGTCTAAAGGAATATAGGCCATTTATTTGCATGGATAAAATAAACTGTACTTTGCACCCTTGCTGAAAATGTTCTGCATGGCACCAACGTATACAGCTGCAAGAAGAGGGGTCATGCCGAATTTAGCTAGAGCTGGTACGAGTGGATCACTGAATAGAATCAACGAAAAGAAACCGACTCCGGTCAGAAGCAAGACGGTGGGTGTAATTCTTGCAGCACCTCCCCATCCGTATTTGTCAAATATAAATTGACTTAGTAACATCATACGAATGTTGCTATTCCTGTGCCAGTTGAGAAGTCACCCATGAAAGAGGAGTATTCGTTCAGACTCGGAAACTTCGATATCGAGGGAGAATCGATAAGTTAACAAGTCTGTGAAGATCTATTCCACTTGACATAGAATCTTATCTGTGCATGGAGCTTCAATTTCCATGCAACTTCGACGAGGTTGATGCTAATACCGTATGCAACCACCAAAGTGGCAAGATCCCTATTGTGATCAGGTGAAGATATCAATAATTTCATGCTCTCCATTGTTCCCATTTTAGGTTTACTCTGCAGAAGGATTGACAATATAAGTTCACTCGCATGCTATGTTTTGAAAACCGGATCGGACCGGCTGGTTCAACCGGTTTAACCGGAACCGTTGCCTAGTCCGGTTCAATCTAAACCGGTTGAACCGCTACTAATGAACCGGCCAGAACCGCTACTAATGAACCGGCCAGAACCGCTGAACCGTTCTAACCAGACCGGCTAAAAACCGAAAAAAACCGGAAATTTTGTTTTTTTAAAAAAATTAAACCAAACGTCGTTTGTTAAACGAGCCAAGTCGAACTCGAGTATTGCTGAGCTCGACTCGAACTTGAAAACTTTAAAAGTAAGCTCAACTCCACTCAAACTCACAAGTTAAAAATTATCAAGTTCAACTCGAACTCGAAATATAATATTGAAACTTGAACTCAAAATGGCTTGAACTAAAAAAAAAATTAGAAGCTCAATTGAAGCCTAAATTTCGAGCTTGATTGAAGTGAAAGAATAGTTCACTCAATGCTCACCAAAAGGCTCCATGATTTTGAATGTCAAATTACCTCTATTATTTATAGAAGTTAGTTGTGATGCTCTTCTATGTTTCTTAGCCATGTGAGATTGTTTTTTTTAAAAAAATTAAGACAAACAATATCATTTTGTTATGATTTTTTTAGCCCCAAATTTATTTTTAATTATAGTTATATAATTATATTTATTATTTAATATGTTTTACCTTAAATATTATGTTGTAGTTAATTTGAATCATTTTGTTTCACTTGATTTTATTGGTTTTTAATTTATATATATGACTTGCTTTGAATATGACTTGTGATATAAAAATTATTTTTTTAAATATTTTTGGTATTTTTATTTAATTTTTTAAATAATTATGACGTCGTCCGGTTCTTCTGACCGGTCGGACCGGTTGAACCAGTGAACCGGTAGCATGGCCGGTTCGCTATCCGGTCCGGTTCTGAAAACCATGCTCGCATGCATATGCGATATAAGCACGGAGAACATCCGATTTGAGCTATGCACGAAATCGGAAGAAGGGTAACTGGTGCAGGATCAATTAAAAAATACAATGGCATGGAATGGAACTGAAAAACAGAACTGCGTAATAATAGGAATAACATTCCAAACCGGGTTAGCCGATCCTATAACCTAAGAATCGAAGAAAACAAATACGATAACCTTCTTCATTTTTTTTTCAAGAATTTGACATTGTTTCACTTCAATAAACAAGTCCTGAACTTTTGAAGTTCGTGCATTTCATCCATAAAATTCATGACCTCTGAAAAGAGGGGAGAGAACGTGTCGAGTGGCTTCATTCTCCCATTCTAGCTGTTCTCACCAATCTTGACGAAGGGAGAGTAAAAAAGAAGGGAGAAACGAAGGTTGCACCAAAATGATGAGAATACAGAATACCTAACAAAGAAATTGCAGTTTATCTGCCTGTAGACGTATAAAAAATGGCTAATTTGTTATTTTTCAATTGTGTTTTAGTAGATCGGAAATAAATGAGGAATCTTCCTCTGCAACGAGCTGGTACTGATTGGTTTGTGCATGGCCCATGACAATGACCTGATACAAAGACGACTTTGAAAAATCATGCAGAGTTGAGAAGCACCGCTAGAAACATGAGCATTCTGATCGAGAAGAAAACAGTAAATCACTGAAGCGTGAAGGAATTTGATTTCTTTGGAGCCGTGTTTCAAATTCAATTATCTGTAAGACTTTTCCACCACATTTAATTTTTTTTGAAGGCTGAGTACTGATTGGTTTGTGCATGTCCCCCATCCGTTTATTTTGAAACAAATACCACATGACCACGAAAATGATAAGAAGACGACTTAGTAAAAACTTTTATGACAATTGTCAGGTATAGAGCTGTTTGATTGAGAAGAAAATAGTAAAAGGCTCTCACCCTTTCCTCGAGGGTCAACAATGATGGGTATCTGTCAATTTTCAATAGTGGAATCTTTCTCTGCAACGACTTGGTACTGATTAGTATGTGCATGGCCAATGCATTTATTTACGAAAATTTTAGGAAGACGACTAGTAAAAAATTTTACGGTAAATTACTCATTTAGTATTTAAACTATCAATTTTTATTTATTTTAGCAACTAAACTTTTCAAATTTTTCAAAATCATATCTAACGTTTAATTTTTGTTTCGTTTTAATACCTCACCGTTAGAAACTTAACAGGTGATTTGCACGTGGCACATTTTTATAAGTAAGTTGAATCATTTATGACTTAAGTATCTTCTAACTCTTATTTTAGTAACTAAAGTTTAATTTTTTTAATTTAATTACTTAAACTTTCAAATTGCACATAATTTAATCACTCTAGCTTTCAAAAAATAATTTTTAATTATATATTAATAAGATAATAAAAAAATTTCATGTCACAAAAATTATTAATAAAATCAATTAGAGTGATTGAAATATGAACAATTTGAAAGTTGAGTACTTAAATTGAAAATTTTTAAACTTTAGTACAATATGAGTGAGAAGATAGTTGAGTGATGCATGATGTAATTTACCTATCCAAAAATGTAGTGATGTTCGGTGAGGTGCTAAAATGAAACAAAAAATAATCGTTAGGTATGATTTTGAAAAATTAAAAGTTTAGATACTAAAATGGATCAAAACAGATCATTTAGGTACTAAATGTGTAATTTACCCAAACTTTTATGATAATTTGTCACACACGTGTGAACTCTAGTTTATCTGAACAATTAAAATTTGTAGCAGTATGAAGATCATAGACGTATGTAGGTGATCCGAGGCAAAGGTAAGGTTGTAATCACGTTGCTGTTGCTGGTGCTACTGTTTGTCTTAGGTCCGACAAGTGCAGTATTGGTTCTGGCATGCTACTATAGTTGCGTTTCCGGTTGTGATTTGCCACCGCGGTTGATATTACAATGCATCTCTCGATGCAACACGAGATGCTCTCACGCTGCCGCCGCTGCTTCTATAGGTAGTCGTAGCGGGAAGGTGGATGGACGACGACCGGGCGAACATTGATTTTTCGTGGCAATCAAAAGAATAAAGAGACGGTGATGATAAACAATGTATTCTCTGCCCCCTTCGCCGACTATTGTTAAAAATGTTCTAGTTATTTGTGTGGACACCAATTTCCGTCCGATTTAGTATATTAATATTTCATTTTTATTATTAACATATATTATACTTATCTTATTATTTTCATTTTTTTTACAGATTCAACAGTACAAACAACAAGCTATTACAAAGCTGCCAAAACCCAGTTGGCCCAAGGAACATGCAGCCCGAGGCAAACCGAGTCCACTGGAGCTGCAACCCGAACCGGTCCACTAGAGTGACCCGAACCGGTTAGGGTTTTGAATCTTTCATTCCAACATCACATCCCTCTCACCCAATAGCCATCGCACCTCTCAATCAACCCCAAATCGTCCGACACAAGGAGAGCACACGAAACCAAAAGCAACAAACAACAAGCAAATAATCTTTTAGTTCGAATACAACTCTAGGAAAATCAAAACTAAAAATAGTAAACTTTAGACTATAAATAAGCTTGTAAATCGAACACTAGAAAACATGAAATACAAGAGAGAAATATGAGAGAAATACGAGAGAAATCATACAAAAACGCAGAGCAATCAAAGCATTTTTTTGCAATATTTCGAAAGGAATAAAGGTAAAAAGCTCTCACCTTTTCGGTTTTGTACATGCATGTGGCCTCGTTGAGGTTGTTTTCGTTGTTTGTTTACACAAAAACCCCAAAAAAATGTTTGGTCGATGACTGGAGGGGAGGACATTCAAACGATCTTTTTTAGATCTAGCCCTCTCTAGGCTTGTTTTTAACAAAATTACTTTGATTTTTGAGTTGGGGGATAGAAAATCTTTTAAAAAATAAAAATTTTTTCCCGCCGACGAACAACTATCGGCGTCGATCAACGGCGGTCGATGGGTTTCTGGGTTCATCATGAACCCAGGCGGTGGCAGTTCATCATTTGGATGAACACTTGAGAGAAAAATGGAAGGGGGGGGAGTTGCATTTTTTAGAAATGAAAAATGAAAAGAAGGGGCCTAATTTTGGTATTTATATTCAACTAGCCAACCCGGTCATTAACCCGCGCGTTGACCCGACCTAGTGCCTGGGATCTGCATGTTTCTGAGGAACAAAGGGATAATTCCCATTTTGGTCCTCCTGTTCTTTAAATATTTTATTTTGCCCTAAAATTCGATTTTCACGCCAATTGTCCTTTTAATTTGGCCCTCAATTTTGATTTTTCTTTCAAATTAACCCTTTAATTATTATTATTATATATATTATTTGTTTCTTTTTATGTTTTTATTATTATTATTCTTGATTTTATATTTTTACTATTTTTTCACTTTTTTTTGTTTCTTGTTATTATTATTTAATGTTACATTCTATTATATATATATTTTTACTTTTCTTTTTTCTTTTATTTTTAATTTTCTTTATCTTTACTTTATTTTTATGTCCTTCTTATTTTTAATTAATTAATTAATTATTTATATATATATATATATATTATTTTAAATACTATTTTATTTATTATTTTTATCTTTATTTCTTTATCTTTATTTATCTTATTTACTTTTTTTATCTTTTTATTTTTCTCTATCTTTTTTTACTTTCTTTATCTTATCTTCTTTATTTCATTTGTTTTTTTTTATTTTCTTTATTTTTATTACCTTTCCCCCCTTTTTTTATCTAACATTTCTATCTTTTTAAGGGTTTCGTTCAAATCAATCGGAGGTTAGTAATTTGGATTATATTTTACCTTTTAGTTTAAACTACAATTTTCTTAAGTAAGACAACTAGAAATTAATTAGTACCGAAAGGGCAGTTCAAGCGTGCTAATCCTTCTTTGACTGTAACCGACTCTAGAATCTGACATATCTTTGGTAAGATGCAGATCAGGTAAGAAATTAAGGTGTTCGATCAACCTATTTGCCTTAAAAATAAATGATCAATGGCGACTAATG